GGACACAAGCTGTTGCAGCTGTTATATATGTCCAAATTGGCACCCATCATCTCTTGGCTAGTTACAGGATGCCAGTGCCCAGTGGTTGGGGTGAAAGAATCGTGCCCCCTTTTTTTCCTCTAGGTTGGCAGGTACACTGTCCCCCTTGGGGCTCCAAGCCAGACTCATGCCAGGCTCTTCCCACAGCTTTACCACCAGTGGCTTGGCCTGCTGCATTCTGGTCTAACCTCACTCTCTAAAGCTGATGCTGGGGCTCTCACCTCTAGGGTCCTGAGTTGTGCACGTCCACACCCTCCTTGTAGGTCCACAGTATCCCTCTAATTTGCATGGAGTTTCCTCTGCCATTTTCTCCCTTACTCTTCCGTTATTGCACTCTCTCCAATATTTCTTTTAACTGTCTTCCCCTAGACTCAAGCAATAAGCTCCCTCCCTATTCAGCCATCTTGGAAACTTTCTGATCCTTTTATATTTCAGTGATGTCAGTTGTAATCTCCTTTTTCGCCTCTAATTTCATTTGAGTTTTTTGTCTTTTTTCCTTTGTTATTCCAGCTAGAGATTTATCTATTTTGTTTATCCATTTAAAAAAAAAAAACAGTTTTGTCTTGTTGGGGCTTTTTCTTTGTTCATTTATTTCTGCTCTGATCCTCATTATTTTTCACCTCCTGCTGATTTGGAGTTTGGTTTGTTCTTGTTTTCCTAAGTCTTCAAGATGTATCATTAGATCTTTGACACATTTCTCTTTTTTAATATAAGCACTCAGTGCTGTAAACTTTCCTCTTAATACTGCTTTTGCTGTACCCACGGGTTTTGATGTGTTTTCATTTTCATTTATTTCAAGAAAGTTTATTTCTTTCTTAATTTCTCCAATGACCCATTGATCATTCAGTAGCATGTTGTTTAATTTCCAAGTATTTATGAGTGTTCTGTTGTTGTTCTTGTTGATTCTAGTTTTATTTTTTATGGTCTGAGAAGATACGTGGTATGATTTCAATATTTTTAAATTTGCTGAGACTTGATTTGTGGCCTAATATGTGGTCTATCCTAGAAAATGTTCTAGTGTTGATGAGAAAAATATGTATTCTGTAGCTGCTGGGTGACATGTACTATAAATGTCTGTTAGTTCCACTTGCTCTATAGTATGTTTCAACTGCAATGAAACTTTATTTTTTTTTTGTCTGGGATAATCAGTCCATTGACAACAGAGAGGTGCTGAAGTCACCCACTGTTATTGTATTGGAGCCTATCTCCCTTTAAGTCTAATAGAATTTGTTGTAAATATCTGAGTGGCCTGGTGTTGGGTGCATATATATTTATGATTGTAATGTCTTCTTCATGAATTGAACCTTTTATCAAAATATTCCCTTCTTTATCTTTTACAAGTTTTTTTTTTTTTTTTGGTTTGCAAAGGCTTTACTTCTGGATGTACATGTGATTTTAACAAATATGTTTAAAAAGCAAAATTAACAATATTACTAAAGTACACTCAACAATATAAAATAAAGTGCCCAATCTCTAAACCACAGTATTGTGGAAAAAACAATGGCTTTACATTTCCAAAGACACTAGAGGAAAGTTTCCAGAAGATTTACCTTCTTTAAAATGTTCAGATTTGGGGTTCAGGTGACCTTTTATGAAAATAATTCAGGTGATCAAGTGCTTTTGGTTTCAAGTGCCGCAGATGGGCAATTTTCTGAAAAGCAAAGTAATGTTTGACTTCTGAAAAACAGTTTTTTATTTAAAGTCTGTTTTATCTGGATAGCTATGCCTTCTTACTTTTTGTTTCCATTCACCTGGTATATCCTTTTTCATTACTTCACTTTCAGTCTGTGTGTATCTTTGTTTGTGAAGTGAATTCTGCATAGGCTATCTGCTGGTTTTCTATCTAAATGCCCAAAATGGTTAGGGCTGCATGAGGCTGGATCTGGGAGCCATGAATTCAATCCAGGTCTCCCACACATGGGTGTCTGGGATCCAACAACTTGAGCTACCACTTTTTCCTCCCACAGTGTGCATTAGCAGGAAACTGGAATTGGGAACAGACCCAGGACTCAAAGCCAGGCACTCTGATATGGGATGCAAATTCCATTAGGCATCTTAATCATGAGCCAAATGCCTGTACCAGCACAGTGACTGCCTGTACTAGGATACACTTGACAGTGTCTCCAGATTGATCTATGGATTCAATTTATCTCCAATCAGAACACAGTAGGCTCTTTTTGTAGAAATTGACAATCTGATTCTAAAATTTATGTGGAAGTTCAAAGTACCTAAATAGTCAAAATGATTTTTTTTTAAAGAGTTATTTATTTACTTGAGAGGTAGAGTTACAGAAAGAGGCAGAGGCAGAAAGAGAGAAGTCTTTCATCCACTGGTTCACTCTTCAAAAGGCCACAATGGCTAGGGCTGGGCCAGGCTGAAACCAGGAGACAGGATCTTCTTCCGGGTCTCCCACTTGGATGCAGGGACCCTAAAACTTGGGTCATCTTCCACTGCTTTCCCAGGTCCATCAGCAAGGAGTTGGATCAGAACTAGAGTAGCCAGAGCTCAAACCTGCACCCATATGGAATCCTAACACTACAGGTGGTGGCTTACACCACAGCATAGGCCCTGCCAAAATAACTTTTAATAAAGACAACTAAAGTTTATGCACTGCTCCTATTTGGTTTCAAGATTTATTGTGAAACTATATAATCAACACAGTGTGGAACTGGCATAAGTATACATTGCCAGATCTTAAAATCCAATCAAGGAATGCTGCCTGGAGTTACCTGGCTGGATTTTAAAACTACTTCAAACCAATGAGACTTCCCCCACCCAGCCCCTTTTTTTAAACCCAGATGGCTATCCACTGGCTCTTATCCTAGGCCGGTCCCACTAACTGTGGATGACAAGTACTGGAGGCAGGTGACTTGTTTTAGTGTCAGAGGCCCACAGGAGAGGCGCTCTGCTCAGGGGCTGTACCTAATGACTAATTACAAAATCCTCTGTTTTCACCTGATTTAAGAGATTTAGATGATTAGATTTAGGACTTTTCAGCTGACAAGATTCTCAACTTTAAAGATAGTGTAACCTGAGGCCCATGCTGTGGTATAGTGGGTAAAGCTACTGCCTGCAGTACCCGCATCCTACATGGGCACCAGTTTAAGTCCCAGCTGATCCACTTCTAATCCAGCTCTCTGCTATAGCCTGGGAAAGCAGCAGAAAGTGACCCAAGTGCTTGGGCCCTGGCACCTGCATGAGAGACCCAGAAGAAGCTCCTGGCTCATGGCTTCTGGCTTCAGATCAGCTCAGCTCCAGCCATTGCAGCCATCTGGGGAGTGAACCAGCAGATGGAAGACCTCTCTCCCCCTCTCCTCCTCCTCCCTCCCTTCCACCCTCCCTCTCTCTCTCATTCTCTACCTCTACCTCTACCTCTCTGTAACAATGCCTTTCAAATAAATAAATAAATCTTTAAAAAAAAAAGTTATCATAACCTTGCAAGCCTGGCTATGAGATGAATAGATGAACGTATTTTACATGTGGGACAAACATGAATCACTGGGGGCCAGAGGTTGGACAATAATAGACAAAATTAAAAGAATTACTCCCAATGCCCTTTATCCTTGTATAATCTACTCCCCTTTGAGTTTGGTCAGAACCTGAAAACATAAAATTTCACTCATGTGGTTATATTATCCAGGGCATGGTAACCTAATCACAAAACCCTTCAAAAGTACAGAATTTCCTCTAGATGATTACATAAGTTGAAGTCAGAGAGATTCAAAGACTGAGAAGGACTCAACGTGCTATTTTGGCTTTCATGATCAAGAGGCCAGCAAGGAAACAGGTACTTTACTCCCACAATATAGAGAACTGAAATCTGCTACCAACTTAAAAGAACGTGAAAACAGATTCTTCCCTAAAGTCTCCAGACAAGAGTCCAGTCCAGCCAACACATTACTTTTTGGTCTTGTAAGTTCCAAAACAGCAAACCCAGTCTGAATTGCCCAAAACTTACAACCTAAAAATGTTTACACTATTTATGAGTGCTGCAATTAAGCTATTATGATTGTAGTGGATTTGTTTCTGTGACTTAAAAGATGTTAAATAATAAGAAATGAGTATATATTAAATAGCTTCTAGGTAGCAACCCCTATGCTAGCCACCATTACATGTAATTTCACTTCATCCTCATAAAAATCCTACAAGGTTTGGGGCTGACGCCGTGGCTCACTTGGTTAATCCTCCTGCGGCGCCAGCATCCCATATGGGCGCTGGGTTCTAGTCCTGGTTGCTCCTCTTCCAGTCCAGCTCTCTGCTGTGGCCCAGGAAGGCAGTGGAGAATGGCCCAGGTGCTTGGGCCCCCGCAACCGCGTGGGAGACCAGGAGGAAGCACCTGGCTCCCTGGCTTCGGGTCGACGCAGTGCACCAGTCATAGCGCACCAGTCATAGCAGCCATTTCGGGGGTGAACCAATGGAAGGAAGACCTTTCTCTCTGTCTCTCTCTCACTGTCCAGCTCTGCCTGTCAAAAAAAAAAAAAAAAAAAGAATCCTACAAGGTTTAAACATTAGCCTTCTTAGTTCTCAGAAAAAGCTCAAGATACCATAGTTTAAATTATTGCTCAAATTCATTCCAAAGCTAAATATTAAGACACAATATAGGCCAGCGCCGCAGCTCACTAGGTTAATCCTCTGCCTACGGCACCAGCACACTGGGTTCTAGTCCCGGTTGGGGCACCGGATTCTGTCCCGGTTGCTCCTCTTCCAGTCCAGCTCTCTGCTGTGGCCAGGGAGCGCGGTGGAGGATGGCCCAAGTGCTTGGGCCCTGCACCAACACGGGAGACCAGGAGGAAGCACCTGGCTCCTGGCTTCGGATCAGCGCGGTACGCCGGCCACAGCGGCCATTGAGGGGTGAACCAATGGAAAAAGGAAGACCTTTCTCTCTGTCTCTCTCTCACTGTCCACTCTGCTTGTCAAAACACACACACACACACACACACACAATATATAGAACAAGCAGATCTCAAAACATAGCTAGTTTATTTCTGGCAAAGGAAATAAAATGAACAAAAACTTGGCAATAGCAAATAATCCAACCTGATTAATACTCAAGGTACACATGTACAATGTTGGGGAAAGCAGTTGAGAAGCAAGCTGGATATTAGATTTTTTTCCCTAATGATACTGACTAAAAAGAATTCATACTGCTAATCACCATTCACCCTAGCTGTCATGCAAAGTTAACCCATGTCACAGGTACCTAATAAGTAGGCTTAGGTCTGATCTCGAGTTTTCCTCACTCTCTCTACTCCTAGAAATCACCTTGTTTTTAAATAGTTCCAGGGCTAAAATATCCAAGAGATTCTAGACAAGTTCACAGATGCCCCAGGAGATCTAAGTTAACTTCTAAGAATATTTATGGGGACAAGGTGAGTTGTGGAGATACCTTGGTAGTTTTGACTTGCTTTCCAGGTGCAGCAGAATGGTCAATAGAGCCAAGAATTTAAGACCCCACCTCTGGAGTTCTGTGTTGATCATTGCATCCTGTTACTGGTAACATCAACATAAACTGTTTGGATTTCTACTTACTTTATCTCCTCCTTTCTAATCACCTGAACAGCTTCAAGTCCAAATGAGGCCAGTGCCACAGCTCACTAGGCTAATCCTCCACCTGCAGCACCGGCACACCGGGTTCTAGTCCCGGTCGGGGCACCAGATTCTGTCCCAGTTGCCCCTCATCCAGGCCAGCTCTCTGCTGTGGCCCGGGAGTGCAGTGGAGGATGGCCCAAGTACTTGGGCCCTGCACCCCACAGGAGACCAGGATAAGTACCTGGCTCCTGCCATCGGATCAGCACAGTGCGCCGGCCGCAGTACACTGGCCACGGCGGCCACTGGAGGGTGAACCAACGGCAAAAGGAGGACCTTTCTCTCTGTCTCTCTCTCTCACTGTCCACTCTGCCTGTAAAAAAAAAAAAAAAAAAAAAAAAAGTCCAAATGAATCATTTGGAGCAGGGATAGAACAAAGGCTCAGGTCCAAATTCCCATGTGGCCTTTAAGGCAGGACAATAATGAGAATCAAAAAAGATTTCACAGCTTCTTCATGTATGAAATCAGGTGCAGTTTAGAAAATTGGATCCTGGGGGCGGGGGGTGGAGGGCGGGGGCGGGCACAGTCATGGTGCAACAAGTTAAGCCACCATCTGGGGACCTGGCACTGTGGTGCAGTGGGTTAATCCTCCACCTGCAGCACCGGCATCCCATATAGGCACCAGTTCTAGTCCCGGCTTGCTCCTGTTCTGATCCAGCTCTCTGCTGTGGCCTGGGAAAGCAGTAGAAGATGGCCTGACCAGCCCTCTGCTGTGGCCAGGGAGTGCAGTGGAGGATGGCCCAGGTGCTTGGGCCCTGCACCCCATGGGAGACCAGGAAAAGCACCTGGCTCCTGGCTCCTGCCATCGGATCAGCGCGCTGCGCCGGCTGCAGCGCGCCGGCCGCGGCGGCCATTGGAGGGTGAACCAACGGCAAAGGAAGACCTTTCTCTCTGTCTCTCTCTCTCACTGTCCACTCTGCCTGTCAAAAAAAAAAAAAAAAAAAAAAAGATGGCCTGAATGCCTGGACCCCTGCACCTGTGTGGGAGGTATGGCGGAAGTTTCCGGCTCCTGGCTTCGGATTAGCTAAGACCTTTCTGTCTCTCCTTCTCACTGTCTGTAAATCTTAACTCTCAAATAAATAAAATAAGGGAGGAAGGGAAGAAGGGAGGAAGGGAGGGAGGGAGGGAGGGAGGGAGGGAAAGAAACAAAAAATAAGCCACCATCTGCAACACCAGAATCCCGTGTGGGTACCAGTTAGTGCCCTGGCTGCTCCACTTCCAATCGGCTCCTTGCTTGGAGTCCCTGAACCCCATATGGGAGACCTGGATGGAGTTCCAGGCTCCTGGCTTCGCCCTGGCTCAGCCCCAGCTGTTGCACCATTTGCGGAGTGAACCAGTGAATGGAATCTCTATCTCTCCTTCTCTCTCTGTAACTCTGCCTTTCAAATAACTAAATCAACCTTTAAAGAAAGAAAAAGAATGTTTAAACAGAAAACTCTATAGGCAGGCTAGTAATGCTCAGGCAAAGGATTAAAGCTAACATTTAACTTCTGGTGAGTTCCCTGAATTACAGCCCAGACTGTCATAAGCTTTTTGATCTGAAATTAAAAATATGCAGGAAGTCCTCACATTTATTGAAGGCTTAAAATGCTCCAACCTCTGTTTAAGTGTCTTACATGTATTAATTTACTTAATCCTCATAATTCTGTCAGGCAGTATTATTGTCCAGATCTATGATACAAAGACTAAGGCACAGAGACTTAATCAACCTGCTCAGTCAAAAGCTCAGCTGGGGTTTCAAACCTAGTCAAGTTGGCCTTAGAATGTACTGAGTATGCTGCTCTGAGCTGTCTGTCTGTCTTACAAAAAAGAACCTGTGTCCAGTAGCCAACAAAATGAAAAGAAATTCAACTTTGACTAGATGGTACAGAAAAAGGCTGAACAAGAAAGGACAAGTGATGCAAAAGACAAAGTTAAGAGGCTCTGGTTCCAAAAGAGCAGTTAACTGTTCTGTGATTTTTCTCTAAAGGATCCTCAATATGAATCAATGCCAAGAATTCCAAGGTTAAGATGTTAACAGGAAAATTCCTTTTAAGTGTTTTCGAGTGGTATTAGCAGTTATCTATTACATGGCAAAACATCTGGAAGGTCTTTATTGTGTGGGTTGCCCAGTATGTCCAGTGTAATGTCATGGTTCTGAGCAACTCCAAATCACATAAAATTTCAGAACTAGTGGAGACAGGCTAGAGTCCAATGCATCAGTCATCTGCTCAGATTTTCATGTTCTTATAGAGAACACAAACTGGGCTTCAATATTTACTATGTGTTTATGGACAAAAATGGTCACTTGGTCTCAATGTTCTCAAATTCTAAAGGAAGATGGTATCTCTCAGGGAAGTACAAGAATTCAAAGCAATAAAATATGTAAAAAGCATAGCAAAGAATTAAAACACTCTTTGGGGTAGTCTTATGGAGTAACAGGTTACACCATCACCTGCAATGTCAACATCCCATATGAGCACCTGCTTGAGCCCCAGCTGCTCCACTTCTAATCCAGCTTCATGTTAATGCATCTGGGAAAGTAACAGAGGATGGCCCAAGTGCTTGGGCCCCTGCAGCTATGTGGGAGGTCCAGATGAAGTTCCTGACTCTTGGCTTCAGCCTGGCACTGCTTGGCTGCTGCAGCCATTAGGGGAGTGAATCAACAGATGGAAGATCTCTCTCTGTCTCTCACTCTCTAACTATACCTTGCAAATAAGTAAAATAGATCTTTAAAAAAATTAACACTTTCTTCAACAAATGTTAACTCCATCCTTTTGCTCAAGCAATATTACCAACCATCCTAAAACACTTTTTTTTATTTATTCATTTGAAAGTCAAAGTGACAGAGAGACAGAGACAAAGGTTTCCCATGTAAGTAGCAGGGGCCCAAGAACTGGTACCATCTTCTGCTGCTTTTCCCATGCCTTAGCATGGAGCTGGATCAGACGTGTAGCAGTTGGAACACAAACCAATACTGATAAGGGATGCCAGCATTATAGTCAGTGGCTTTCCCCACTATACTGCTATATGGGCTGCTACTAAAACACTTTAAATCCTTAAAAGCAATATGACAGGAAAAAAATCACAAAGGTCTTACAAGGTATAAAAGTAACAGAAAAAAGCTCTGAACAAATATGCCTTATAGTATGTAAGTACCTCAGATCAGATGACTAAAACTAACTGGTAATGAAATTCAATGCTCATACTGCTTCATTTTGTTCTCACAAAGGTGTGTGTTACATTTTGCATAATCATCCTTTCCTCAAAAAAAATTCCAATAATTAAACCACTGTTAAAAACAAGGTCCATAGGTAGTGTAACTTAGGAGCAGAACTTAGAACTCCTACTATTTGAGTATCAGATTCATTGAATAAATTTTTTATGGGGTGGGCCTTGTGGCACAGCAAGTTAAACTGCCACTTGGGATATGTACAACCCATATCAGAGTGCTAGAGTTTGAGACCTACCTTCACTTTCAATCCAGCTTCCTGCTAACATGCCTGAGAGTAGCAGATGATGGCCCAAGTACTTGGGTTCCTGCCACCCAAGTGGGAGATCTGGATGTAGCTTCTGGTTCCTGGATTTAGCCTGCCCTCAGCCCATGTTATTGAAGGCACATGGGGAGTGAACCAGTGGAAGGAAGGAAGATATCTCTCTATACATATTTCAAATAAATAGACTTTAATTTAAAATTTTTAACTAAATAATATAAACTATTTTTCTCTTTCAGTACCAGTACTTGTGTTTTATATAAAAATAAAAGCTCAAAAACTGAGTAAGGATAAATATTTCCACAAATTATATAAAATCTATAAGTATCAATCTTAAAAAAATAAAATAAAATCTATAAACATCACAGGAAGCTGAAAAGAATTTGAAATGACATTGTAAGAAGTTTGCTTCAAGTTCAATACATTTTTCCTAAATGAGTTAGAATACCTTAGTAAACACAAAACCAAGCCTCTGAAACTATATTCTCATTCACAGGATGAAAAAACCTCAGAAATATCTTTCATTGACAAAATCAGTAAGTAAATTTGGGAGCTTGTCAAAGCATCCTTTTAGTCTAATATTTTAACTAGCAGATAAGTATATGTAAACAATCTGTAAATAGTATGAATACTTTTCTCAAAATGCTAAGTGAAAAAAGTCAAACATAATACATTAAACATTATATGGTCCCACATACATGAAATTCTATAAAAACAAAATTAATGAGAAAATATTTCAGTGTTTGCCAGGGACCAAGGATCAGAGGAAGAAACTGACTGCAAAGTGACAACTGAAAAGTCTGGGGGTAAAGGAAATGTTCTCTATATCATGATGATAGTGGCAAGCATACAACTATACAGATGGTTTTAAATCTCATTGTACTCTACAACAAAAATTGGAAATTTTATTACATGAAAATTATACTTCAATATCAAAAAGAGGAGCCGGCACTGTGGCTTAGCAGGTAAAGCCACTGCCTGCAGTGTCGGCATCCCATATGGGTGCCAGTTCGAGTCCGGCTGCTCCACTTCTGATCCAGCTCTCTGCGAAATGGCCTGGGAAAGCAGTAGAAGATGGCTCAAGTCCTTGGGGTCCTGCACCCACGTGGGAGACCTGGAAGAAGCTTCTGGCTCCTGGCTTCAGATCAGCCCAGCTCCTGCCATTGCAGTCATTTGGAGGGGTGAACTAGCAGATAGAAGACCTCTCTCTCTTTCTGCCTCTGCCTCTCAGTAACTCTGCCTTTAAAATAAATAAATAAATAAATCTTTAAATAAAATATCAAAAAGATAATATTTAGTAAGCATGCATTTCAAAGAATCATTTCAGTCAAAATATTCTGCTTAGTAAATATTTACTTGTAGAAAAATGTGTAAATAATATTTTTCACAATAAGTAGTGTTTACATTCTGATGTTTTTATAAGACATGTTTTTATTTTCTTCTAGAAAAACAGGAAAAATTTTACTACTTGAAAAGTGACCTTGAATACTGTTTGAAAACCCTATAAAACTGTTACATAAACGTTAACACATTGGTACAGTACTTGCTAGGTCATTACACTTTTTCAAGAATGTAATAGTATACCAGAGGTACAAATATGGGTCATACAGGGTCAAGTAAAGAATCCAAGTGAGCAGCAAGGAAGAAGTAATACTGTGCAAAACTGGACAGCAAGTGGCCACCCCAAGTGCCCCACTATTGCTGTCCTGCAGGTGCCAGGAATGAACAGAGCTCAGTGTAACCAGAGATTCTGATGCTCAAGAAGCAGAAATCTGAACTTTCATGTGAAACATTCTTTTTTTTTTTAGGGCTCAACTTTTTCTTTTCTTTTCTTTTCTTTTTTTTTTTTTTTTTTTTGAACAACACTGGATGAGCCAAATCCAACAAGTCCTTAGATTGTGATCCCTCTGGTCCACAGTAGATGCTTTCTGAACTTACTCAACAGCGTAGTCTTGCCCTCTTTCAATTTCTTTCTTTATATAGAGGCTAGAACAACCTGGAGCATTAATACAATCAAAGTTAACTTCATCTCAAAAACACATAAATAGTCATACCTGAAGGCCACTTTGCTGAAAAACCAACACTTAGTATTTTTTTTAACACGCTGGTTGGTAATAAAAGGAAAAATCAATTAGAATGAAAGGAGAAGGGTGAGGAAACACTCACGAAACCACTACTTTAATTAAGATCATAGTCAGCATCCAGACTACAGAGCAATAAAATAATCTACATGCTGAAATTTGAGAACTTCATTGCCCCAACTAGTCCAACCTGGCTGTAAGTTCCGAGCAAACAATTCCAAACATTCTGCATCTGGTTTGATGTAGTCTTTGAGGACCTCTGTTCAAAAAAAGAGAAAAAAAAGTATTAGGAAAGAAATCAATTTTAATTTAAAGTTGAGTTTTTCAAAAAAAGGAAATCTCATTTGTTATTTTGTTTCATTTATTTGCAGGACAGAGTTATAGAGAGAGGTAGAGCCAGAGAGAGAGAGGTCTTCCATCTGCTGGTTCACTCCCCAAATGACCGCAACTGCCAGAGATGAACTGATCCAAAGCTGGGAGCCAGGAGCTTCCTCCAGGTCTCCCACGTGGGTTCAGGGCCCAAGGACTTGGGTCATCTTCTACTGTTTTCCTGGACACAGCAGAGAGCTGGATTGGAAGAGGAGCAGCCAGGAATCGAACTGGAGCCCATATGCGATGTCAGCAATGCAGGCCAGGACTTTAACCCACTGCACCACAGCACCAGCCCCAGAAATCTCATTTTTCAACATTCAAAAGCGACTTTACAATCTTCCAATAATACACATATATTCCCTGAGTACTAAATTTATTTTTTAATAAATGTAATCCATGTATCAAAAAGAACTCTACAGAAACAATACAAAAACAATCTACTTTAAAAATAAAGTTATATACAAGTTTCTTTGTACCATATGGTCTAGTGAAACAGTAGTAAATGAAGAGTTGGATATAGAAATATTTAGAACAAAAACAACAATTAACTAGGGCCCCTCAGTAACCTGGTAGTACTAAGAACATTCCTCTGGGGCTGGGCGCTGTAGCAAAGCCTCTACCTGCAGTTTGTGTTCCGGCTGCTGCTCTTCTGCTATGTCGTGGGAAAGCAGTGGAAGATGGCCCAACTTCTTGGGCTCCTGCATCCACATGGAAGACCTGGAAGAAGCTCCTGGCTCCTGGTTTCAGATTGGCCCAGCTCCAGTCATTGCAGCCATTTGGGGAGTGAATCAGCAGATGGAAGACCTTTCTCTCTGTCTCTCCATTTGTCTGTTAACTATCCCTCTCAAATAAATAAATAAAGTCTTTTAAAAAAATTATATTTTATTCAAATTATAAATTTTTCTTTGCCTAAACTTTCATTATATTATTTCCAAAGTTAAATATTCCTTATTCAATATTAATACCTACTGTACTGAAAATTATGTTTTGTTGGGGAAACATACACACACACACACACACACATATGCACACACACACGAGTTGGCTAAACAACTAGTGACACTAAAAGAAAGAAAACACCACCATGAAAACTTTCTTTGAAAAGCACATGCTCAGTTGAATAGAAAATATTTAAATCGCTTTAACCTTAGTCACGTTGCTGGTTACCTGTACTAATCCCAGTAAGAGGAACAGGGTGAAAAAAAATATTTCCGAGAACAAAGTCTCTAGAACAGGTAACATATAGTTTATAATTGCAATTTAGGGTTGGGCTTCCTGAGGAATACTTGATTTAGGTAAGGTTAAAAAGACTATATATCAAATACTTTAGATTTATAAGGTTCTTAAATTGCTCTCACAGCAAAATGCTTGCTCACTTGTCTATTTTCCAAAAATCAAAGAGGAACTGAAAGTTCTCATTGTCTATAATGCAACAGATCTCGAATTTGAGCTTCATTAGCTTCTAGAAAATGCTGGCATGAAGACCTGTAGTCCTTTTAATAAGAATATTATAATTAAGTGCTACTAAACTTGAAAGAGAAAGCTTTCCCACAGTCTTAGAGGGATAATAACCCTATAATACTTTTCCAGTTTCTCCCCATGAATTCAATGCTTTACCAGTCTGTGTTTACTTTTATTGTGGTCAAAGGTTATGCTGAAGCAGATTTTATTTGTTTTTGTTTAGTTTGTTCATTCAGTTTTGTGCTGTAAAGGTGTTGGCATCCCTATCTGGGAATTTTAAATTGGAGTCAGTCGGTCAAAAAAATGTTCACTCTTCTAAGCGCTAATTATAATCAGTGCTATGGAACTGAACAAAGGAACCAGAATATCCATGTTTTATAAGTATTCACAATCAAATAGCTAAAGATGGCCAGGTTTTGGAGTGGAAAAATACGTACAACCTAAGGCCATTTACTATCATCTGACTTTCTCAATATATTTTTGCATGTTTTTTTTTCTTTCAAGTTGAAAATAAAAAGAAAATCAACCCGAGTTATGTCAGCCACATTTGTTTTACTTCAAAACAAGGCAAAAGAAATAAACATGAATTAATGGAAATGTATTATTCTAATTTTTAATACTGATTAAAAATAAGTGCAAACATATAAATTTGAGTATGAAATGCAAACACTTAGATAATTACATAACACCTGGCATTAGTAAAGCAAATTTACAACCAATGCAGAGGGAGCAATCCATGCACAGCCAGTCATTCACTTTTGCTCTGGAAGGGTGAGGCAGGAGCAGGGGAAAAAGTGACCCAAACATCAGTGCACAAAAATCCCATCATCTATGTTTCACTCTTCACACAGAAACTTCTAGTAAACAAACTAGTAAAAAGGAACAGAAACTCCTCAAAGGTTAAAAAAAGTTTTTTTACCTGAATACTTTTACTTCATAATTTTTCTAAATCTTAAGTCCCTAAACTTAAGCATATACAATGTTAGCCTGTAAGCCACAGCTATTGATGGCTTAGCTTTCAAGCTCTAGGAGGAAACTTCAAAAATTAAAAATACAGTAAATGAATATATCACTGCAAAATGGAATATGCTGCCAATGTGGAGTTTACATTCTGCAACACGATATAACAGGAATAACAAATTAAATTTTAAAAAAACTTGGTATTTTTAAAAGCATTTTTTATGAATTTGCATTTAAGAATATTTACAGAAAAGTTTTAAGCATTTTATACAGAATGTGTATTAACTCTAACCCCTAGAGTTAAAATATACTGCAGAATAATGAAAGTTGCTTTCTGATAGCTTTAATTGGCACCACCGTAGACCTAGAATACATATACTCACATGAAATCAAAAGTAAAGTATTACAAATATTCCTTGCTTAACAGAACTTAACTAAGGCTTAAGAATCACATATATTGAGTCATTCATATTTTTCTCCAAAATATAATTCAATTTATAACATCCTCAATCTTAAAAATGCATTTGTACTGCTCTCTACTGATAATACAGCAGAAGTACAATTCAAAGATGCAGTCTACAGGGCAAGACTAATTCTCCATTCATTATTTAAAAAATTTTTTAAGAGCAAATATTAAATAAAATTTCATTCTACTATAAAGAAACTGATAAACAGATTTAACTAGCATTTGATAATGAACACTTTTCAGTCTTAGTTTTGAATTTTCTGAAGTAAAATATAAGCTCTAAGACAAACATTAAATTAAGATTTGGTGTTCACTAAATGATAAAGATAATAAATAAGAGGAATACAAATTAGATTTCCTCCACTAAGTGTAACTGATGCCAAAGGTAATTTTTTTCTCAAAGAACAGTACAAACTCATTTTTCAGTTAAGTCTCAAATTGAATACATTGAGGAGTATACAGTCCATTCTTTGAAGGTGATTATTCACTGAGAATCCAAGTCAAACAATGGATCATCACACAGATATCTCATTATCTATCAAATTAAGGAACACTATAGAGATTTCTTTGTGTAAGCAATTTAAGATAACAGCAATTCTGATGCTACCAAAATCTGTGATCACTGTTTCCTGGCTCATGAACTATCCCATATCCTGCAAAAATAAAATGATAAGCCACTTATACCTTCCACAGTGGCAGGCTGAATGAGTTTTGTGGCCTTTTTAAAGCAGGAATCACTAAATGAATAAAATATATTCCTGAAGAAATTCTTTGAAAATATTTTGAATATTAAATTCAGATCTCTCAAAGATTTACATCTGTTTTAAACTCTCACTTTAAAAATTTAGTATTTACTGAATTTGCACAATACTATAGAATTTTAAATGTATTATAAGCAGGCAAGCATTTGGTACAGCAGTTCAGACACCACCTGAGATGCCTACATCCCATATCAGAGTGCCTCAGTTGGAGAACAGTTCCACTCCAGATTCCAGCTTTCTGCTAATGTACACACAGGTAGGCAGCACGTGACAGCCCTTAGGGTCCCTGCCACCCACATGGGAGACCCAGATAGAGTTCCCAGCTCCTGCTCTTTGGCCTGGCCCAGCCTCAGTTGTTGTAGGCATTTGGGAAGTGAATGAGCAGATGGGCAATCTCTGTCATTCTTTCCCTGTTTCTTAGGTAAATAAATAAATTACATATATATGCATATATAGTATATTATAAACAACCCTACAACTCTGAAAGATTACAATCATTGTTCCCTCTTTAAATGAAAAATATAAAGTGGAAAAGGATTCAAGTAATGCACCCAAGCAGCAGAGCCAGGATTCAAACTCATGTTAATCTCAAAGCTAATACTCTCCACTATTTCTTATACTTTAATTTCACTGAATGATGGATATTATACCAAAGCATTAAAACTGATGAGACGGGCCGGCGCTGTGGCACAGTGGGTAAAGCCACTGCCTGCAGTGCTGGCAACCCATATGGTAGCCGGTTCAAGTCCAGCTGTTCCTCTTCCTATCCAGCTCTCTGCCATGGCCTGGGAAAGCAGTAGAAGATGACCCAAGTCCTTGGGCCCCTGCACCCGTGTGGAAAGGCCTGGAGGAAGCTGCTGGCTCCCAGTTTCGCATCAGCACAGCTCTGGCCATTGCAGCCAAATGGGAAGTGAACCAGTGGGTGGAAAACCTCTCTTTCTCTCTCTCTCTGACTCTCCTCTCTGTAACTCTTTCAAAGAAATAAATAAATCTTTAAAAAAAAATGGAAAGAATTGCAGGCTGCAGCAACTACCTTCCCAATATTTCAGAAAAGCAATATTACCTCTTTAAAAACATAAAATTGAAAGGCTCTAAGAAATATCATGGGAATTCTAATCATCACTCTTATTACCACTGTTCTGTGCTCCTGGATAGGGCAAAGGATAGGGCCCTGGTGGTAAAAGAAAAGCACCCAGCTGAACTACATCCTCAGAGATCTTATCAGTCTTTGTTGTGCCAGGGCAGTGATGGGGGAACAACACAGTTAAATGAAATCTGAAAAATGGTCCAACAGAAAAAGCTGAGGTCAGGTATAATACTAATCTGCTAGGGCCATTGCTGTGTCGTAGCGGGTAAAGCTGAAACTTACAGTGCCGGCATTCAATAGGGACACCAGTTCGAGACCTGGCTGCTCCACTTCTGATCCAGCTCTCTGCTATGGCCTGGGAAGGCAATGGAAGATGGCCCAAGTGCTTGGCCCCTGCACACACATGGGAGATCTGGAAGGAGCTCCTGGCTCCTGGCTTCATATTGTCCCAACTGCAGCCATTGCTGTCATGTGGGGAGTCAACAGAGGATGGAAGATCTCTCTCTCTCTCTGCCTCTGCTTCTGTTTCTCTGAAACTCTGCCTTTCAAATAAACAGATAAATAAATAAACTTAAAAAAGACTAATCGGATCTCTATTTGAAAATTCTGCTCTAAAATTTTAGAATATTAATTAAAACAACACATATGTGATTTAATTTCCAAGTCTACAGACCACTCAAACACTAAATTCAGTCCTTTGTTCAATTTGAAAAGTCACAACAATTCTATTTCATAAAAACATACCAGTAAGAGGTGGCTTATGTGAATGTAGAATACAAGGCACACTGACAATTAATTTGTGATCTGGAATGGGGAGCACTTTCACATCTGTATTCCTAAATAAAACAGAACAAAAGAGAAAATTATATTTTAAGGAACAATTTTTTTGGAGTTGCTTTGTTTTCTCCCCCTTTCAAATAGTATCAATTTCAAAACAAATTTAAGATAGACTCAGGACCACTGCTGTGGCATAGCAGGTAAAGCCGCTGCCTGCAGTGCGTGCATCCCATATGGTCGCTGGTGTGAGTGGCTGCTCCACTTCTGATCCAGCTCTCTGCTGTGACCTGGGAAAGCAATGGAAGATGGCCCAAGTCCTTGGGCCCCTGCACCCATGTGGGAGAACCAGAAGAAGTTAAAGGCTTCAGATCGGCTCAGCTCCAGCCGTTGCAGCCAATTGGGGAGTGAACCAGCAGATGGAAGATCTCTTTCTCTCTCTCTCTCTCTTTCTCTGCGCCTCTCCTTCTCTCTTTGTGTAACTCTGCCTCTCAAATAAATAAATCTTTAAAAAAAAATAGACTCAATGAAGAAAATCAATAATTTAAATATTGAGACATTTCCTATAATTTCCTCTCCCACAAAAAAATTATATACTTTACATACTATATGCAACAAAAGTAATAAAAATCTCATCTGCCACACAATTCATACTTTTCTGCTATGTGCCATGTTCACAACTTCAAAAAAGTAAATACTAAGAAAAATCAATGGTCACTGTTAATGGATTTTTGAAAAATTACCTTTCCTACCTTAATGATAAAGTAGCTTTTTCCTGAATTCTTCCCAATATAAGAACTTCATAAGGCTTTTTGTGTGGAGAATCTAATGGGAACACAAATTCTCCTGAACTGGTGATCTGATAGGAAGGAGTCAATAAAAAGGGTTATATTCTCTATCTCTATAATAGTTTCTACCCCCCCAAAAGAAATTAAACTACCAAGCTATTGTTGTCCAATAAAAATATAATGAGCCACAAATCTAACTTTAAAATTATAGCATTTTTAATTAATGAATTAATTTTTTAATAAATACAAATTTCATAAGTACAACTTTAGGAATATAGTGATTCTTCCCACCATACCTGCCCTTCCACCCACACTCTCACCCTTCCACCTCCTCCCTCTCCCCTTCTCAGTCTCATTCTCCATAAAGATTCATTTTGAGTTAACTTTGTACACAGAAGACCAACTCTATACTAAGTAAAGATTTACAATTTGCACACACATACACACACACACAAAAAAAAGCTGAAAACTAGTTTTATTTGTTAACTCTCATAATACAACTCATTGAGGATAGAGGGCCTGCATGGGGAATTAGTGTGCAGTGACTCCTGTTGTTAATTTAACAATTAATACCCTTATGTATGATGTCAGTAACCACCTGAGGCTCTTGACATGAGCAGCCTAGGCTATGGAATCCTTTTGAATCCAAAAACTCCTTTAGCACTTAGACAAGGCCATAATCAAAGTGGACATTCTCTCCTCCCTTTAGAGAAACATACATCCTTCTTTATGACAACTTCTTTCCACTGGGGTCTCACAGAGATCCTACATGTAAAACATTTTTTGCCACAGTATCTTGGCTTTCCATGACTGAAATGCTCTCAGGGGCTTTTAGCCAGACTAGGAAGACTTAAGGACTGATTCTGAGGTCAGAGTATTACTTAAAGCTATTTTATACTATGAGTCTGCAAAACTACAGCATTTTAAAAAGTAAAACATTGCAGTGAATTTTAAGTAAATATTTAATTTAATCTAACATCCAAACTATTACTATTTCCACATACAATCAATTTAAAAAATTACTGATATGTTACATTCTCTCTGTCATATTAACATTTTGATGTCTGTTTTATACTTTACCTTTAACAGTTCATCTTACTTTGGAATAGCCACATTTCAAGTACTGGACAGCTACTGTGGTATTGGCTACCATTTTGGACAGTATAGATATAGAGGTTTAAAAATATATGTCTAGGTCCAGCGCCACGGCTCAATAGGCTAATCCTCCGCCTGCAGCGCCGGCACCCTGGGTTCTAGTCCCGGTCGGGGCACCGGATTCTGTCCCGGTTGCCCCTCTTCCAGGCCAGCTTTCTTCTATGGCCCGGGAGTGCAGTGGAGGATGGCCCAAATGCTTGGGCCCTGCACCCACATGGGAGACCAGGAAAAAGCACCTGGCTTCTGGCTTCAGATCAGCGCTGTGCGCTGGCCACAGTGGCCACTGGAGGGTGAACCAATGGTGAAGGAAGACCTTTCTCTCTGTCTCTCTCTCACTGTCCACTATGCCTGTCAAAAAAAAAAAAAAAAAAAGACGTGTTTTAGATGCAAAAATCCTCAATAAAATTCTGGCCAATAGAATACACCAACACATCAGAAAAATGATCCACCCAGACCAAGTGGGATTTATCCCTGGAATGCAGGGATGGTTCAATGTTCGCAAATCAATCAATGAGAAAGACCACATTAACAAACTGCAGAAGAAAAACCAAATGATTATCTCAACAGATGCAAAGAAATAATTCGATAAAATTCAACACCCTTTCATGATGAAAACTCTAAGCAAATTGGGTATAGAAGGAACATTCCTCAATATAATCAAAGCAATTTATGAAAAACCCACGGCCAACATCCTATTGAATGGGGAAAAGTTGAAAGCATTTTCACTGAGATCTGGTACCAGACAGGGATGCCCACTCTCACCACTGCTATTCAACATAGTTCTGGAAGTTTTAGCCAGAGCCATCAGGCAAGAAAAAGAAATTAAAGGGGTACAAATTAGGAAGGAAGAACTCAAACTATCCCTCTTTGCAGACGATATGATTCTTTATTTAGAGGATCCAAAGAACTCTACTAAGAGACTATTAGAACTCATAGAAGAGTTTTGCAAAATAGCAGGATATAAAATCAATGCACAAAAATCAACAGCCTTTGTATACACAAGCAATGCCAAGGCTGAGGAAGAATTCTAAGATCATTCCAATTCACAATAGCCACAAAAACGATTGAATACCTTGGAATAAACTTAACCAAGGATGTTAAAGATCTCTACAATGAAAATTACAAAATCTTAAAGAAAGAAATAGAAGAGGATACCAAAAAATGGAAAAATCTTCCATGCTCATGGATTGGAAGAATCAATATCATCAAAATGTCCATTCTCCCAAAAGCAATTTATAGATTCAATGCGATACCAATAAAAATACCAAAGACATTCTTCTCAGATCTGGAAAAAATGATGCTGACATTCATATGGAGACACAGGAGACCTCGAATAGCTAAAGCAATCTTGAACAACAAAAACAAAGCCAGAGGCATCACAATACCAGATTTCAGGACATACTACAGGGCAGTTGTAATCAAAACAGTGTGGTACTGGTACAGAAACAGATGGATAGACCAATGGAACAGAATAGAAACACCAGAAATCAATCCAAACATCTACAGCCAACTTATATTTGATCAAGGATCTAAAACCAATTCCTGGAGCAAGGACAGTCTATTCAATAAATGGTGCTGGGAAAACTGGATTTCCACATGCAGAAACATGAAGCAAGACCCCTACCTTACACCTTACACAAAAATCTACTCAACGTGGATTAAAGACCTAAATCTACGACCCGACACCATCAAATTATCAGAGAACACTGGAGAAACCCTGCAAGATATTGGCACTTACAAAGACTTCCTGGAAAAGACCCTGGAGGCGCAGGCAGTCAAAGCCAAAATTAACTAATGGGATTGCATCAAATCGAGAAGTTTCTGTACTGCCAAAGAAACAGTCAGGAGAGTAAAGAGGCAACCAACAGAATGGGAAAAAATATTCGCAAACCATGCTACAGATAAAGGATTAATAACCAGAATCTACAAAGAGATCAAGAAACTCCACAACAACAAAACTAACAACCCACTCAAGAGATGGGCCAAGGACCTCAATAGACATTTTTCAAAAGAGGAAATCCAAATCTCCAACAGGCACATGAAAAAATGTTCAAGGTCACTAGCAATCAGGGAAATGCAAATCAAAACCACAATGAGGTTTCACCTCACCCCGGTTAGAAGGGCTCACATACAGAAATCGACCAACAACAGATGCTGGAGAGGATGTGGGGAAAAAGGGACACTAACCCACTGTTGGTGGGAATGCAAACTGGTCAAGCCACTATGGAAGTCAGTCTGGAGATTCCTCAGAAACCTGAATATAACCCTACCGTTCGACCCAGCCATCCCACTCCTTGGAATTTACCCAAAGGAAATTAAATTGGCAAACAAAAAAGCGGTCTGCACCCTAATGTTTATTGCAGCACAATTCACAATAGCCAAGACCTGGAACCAACCTAAATGCCCATCAACGGTAGACTGGATAAAGAAATTATGGGATATGTACTCTTTAGAATACTATACCGCAGTAAGAAACAACGAAATCCAGTCATTTGCAACAAAATGGAGGAATCTGGAACACATCATGCTGAGTGAAATAAGCCAGTCCCAAAGGGACAAATACCATATGTTCGCCCTGATTGGTGACAACTCATTGAACACCAAAAAGGAAACCTGTTGAAGGGAAATGGACACTATGAGAAACGGTGACTTGATCAGCATAGCCCTGACTGTTAATGAACAACTTAATACATTATCCCTCTTAGTAGTTTTTTTTGTCTGCTCTACTTAATATGACTGGTTTAATTCTGTAATTAATACACAGTTATTCTTAAGTGTTGAAATTTAACTGAAATGTGATCCCTGTTAAACATAAGAGTGGGAATAAGAGAGGGAAGAGATGTACAATTTGGGACATGCTCAGGCTGACTTGCCCCAAATGGTAGAGTTAGAAACATACCAGGGGACTCCAATTCAATCCCATCAAGGTGGCATGTACCAATGCCATCTCACTAGTGCAAGTGATCAATTTCAGTTCACAATTGATCATAATGAAAGGACTAAGAGTCAAAGGGAGCACATAAACAAGTCTAGTACCTGCTAATACTAACCGATAGAATAAATAAAGGGGAGAGTGATCCAACATGGGAAGCGAGATACTCAGCAAACTCATAGAATGGCGGATGTCCTAAACAGCACTCTGGCCTCAGAATCAGCCCTAAAGGCATTCCGATCTGGCTGAAAAGCCCATGAGAGTATTTCAGGCATGGAAAGCCAAGACACTCTGGCAAAAAAAAAAAAAAAAAAAAAAAAAAAAAAAAAAAAAAACACAACCTAAATGAAAGATCTCTGTGAGTGAGATCCCAGTGGAAAGAACAGGTCTTCAAAGAAGGAGGTACCTTTCTCTGAAGGGAGGAGAGAACCTCCACTTTGACTATGACCTTGTCTAAACAAGATAAGAGTCGGAGAACTCGGAGGGCTTCCATAGCCTTGGAAACTCATGACTGGAGCATGGGGAGATTACTGAGGCCATAAACAAGAGTGTCAATTTGTAAAGTCAACAACAGGAGTCACTGTACACTTATTCCTCATGTAGGATCTCTGTCCTTAGCGTGCTGTACATTGAGACTTAATGCTATAACGAGTACTCAAACAGTATATTTCACTCTGTGTTTCTATGGGGGTGCAAACTGTTGAAAGCTTTACTTAATGCATACTAAACTGATCTTCTGTAAAAAAAAAAAAAAAAAAAAAAAAGAAATTATCAATTCCCAACTTGACTCTCACTGGGATTAAACATGACAATAGGTCTGATCTGATTTCATCATCATTTAAAAATCATCTATTATTTTTCACTTTATGTTTCTGTGTGGGAGCAAACTGTTGAAATCTTTACTTAATGTATGCTAAACCGATCTTCTGTATATAAAGAGAATCGAAAATGAATCTTGATGTGAATGGAAGGGGAGAGGGAGTG